TTATTTATATATATATATAATGCCTTTCAGCAGGGAGATAAAGCATGGCACATTTGTATCCTGGTAAATAGCTGCCTAGTTATAATTCCTAACTCCATCTAACCTTGGAAGAGTTACACATGAGAATACCTTGCACAGTTGTATGTGCCTCAGAGCATGAAAAATGACAGACTGGAGGGAATCCCAAGAATGGCAACAAAGATGATAAAGGGATTAGAGGTTATGCAGAGAGAGTGGTTTATGGGTTTAACATAATCAGCTGAGAGGAAAATGACAAATAGGGGAGGCAGTCGTCTGTGAGGGCTCGAGAGAGAATTACGGAAGTTTGACATAATGAAGAGTAATGTCTGGCGACTAAAAAAAAGGTAGAAGATGAAAATTAGGCACTTTAAAGAATATTCTAGTGCTTAGTTGAAAAATGAAACACGAAACAAGTGAGATCTTAACCGACTGTTGTGTACAGACAGCACATTTGATGACGTGTCCAAAAAACACGTTGCCAAACGCTGACAAACCAGACTGAGAAATAAAAGTGTCAGAGGGTTTAAATTAATTCCAAATTTATCCATCGTTTTGAAAGATGTAAATCCAAATTAGGATTAGTGATGCAGATTACTTAGCACAAAGCATGTATAAATCCTGTACATGGTGGGTACATAGATTGAAAGTGTTGCAAACTGAATTTAAGAGATAACATAAAGTGCTTGTGATAGCAACTCTGACTGTTCTGGGCAGAAAAGGAGAAAGGCTATAATTATTAAATCACTGTGTGAATAAATCCTGCAGAGAGAAATACGAACAGCAAAGGATGAAACCTTTCCAAAAGTGAAAACTAGCTGTGTATATACTGTTAGAACAATTTGTCACACTGGCTACAGCTAAATTAAATCCTTTTCATAACAATTTGTATCTATGGAATGTATTTGGAAAAGGTTATTCCGACTCAAAGCCAAACATTTTCTGTAACACATTTTGATAGTGATATTATCACTTAATGGCAATATGTTTCATGGGTCCTTTCTGGTAGCCAGGAAGCCACAAAATACTCCTTCATGAGTAACTACTACAAGATTTATGCTTGTCCCAGGATTTTCAGTATATTTAGGTATCTCAAAGATGTTTCAGTTGAATAATCTTGTAAATTAGTTCACTGTTTGTTTTTGTATGAGGGTTAGCCCAACCATGGGAGACACTGGTACAAACTGTATTCATGTATGCAAAACTCCTGAGATAAGGCACTGTATATCAGCCCCTGCCTCTTGGTCATTCCAGTCAGTGTTTATTGCCTGTGGCCTCTTAGTGAGAGCATCCTTGTGATTGACTACAGTTGTAGTCATCCTTCCAAACAAAATTATGTCTTTCTTTGCCCAAATAATAGCTTTAAATTACAAGGATTTAGACTGTTCTGTCATGTAAAATAATTTACTAGCTGTCTTGTGTCAAAGCTCTGACTTAAAAGGTGAGGGTTGTTTCACTGTGTTCAGTACCATGTAGTAGTACACACCAGCCTAGTGCAGGTCCTCTGGGATTCTACTGAAATGACAGACATAATTACAGAGAACATGTTGTAAGATCATGACTTCCCTCATCAGATCGTGTTTTTTACATTGTCTTTGCAATAGCAAATCTGTTTGGGAAACCTCCTAAATAATGACTTCCATGGATTTACTTTAGAAGATATAAGAGCACAAAGCTGCATAAAAAAAGAAGGACTTATCATAGATTCATAGAATCATAGATTCATAGAATCAACCAGGTTGGAAAAGACCTCCAAGATCATCAAGTCCAACCCTACCATGGTTACTAAACCATGGCACTAAGTGCCACATCCAGTCTCATCTTACAAACCTCCAGGTACTTCCAAAAGTTTTTTCCTTTTTGCCATGACCTTTACCCATGGCAAGGTCATGACTTAACAGCTGTAATTTTGAATACTTGATGCCACTTTTTAACACATTTAAAGGAAATAATTGAAATACTGAAAAATATTTACAGAAGCTGATCTGTATCATGGAAAAGATTATGATTTACTAAGACAGAAATATGGATTTCTTCTGCCTACAGTGCATAATCTTTGAAAATTCTCTAGGTAATTTCTCAAGTCTGTGAATATCAAGAAACTAAAAGGCATGATGTGCATGTCCAATGCTAGTACACAAAACACATTAAAACCAACATTGTGAGCAGAAATGATCATTTTCTTTTCTCTTTTCTCTCATAAATATTTTTCCTGAAGCTGGCAGATCTGCATCAGCATCACTTTCCAGTTTGATCTGGAAGCTAATGTTTGCGGTGTTATTAGGTAACCTGGCCTTGACCTGCAATTTTTTTCCAGATTCATCATCTTCTGTCCACATTGGTGAAAGATGGAGAGGGCTTGACACCACACAGAAGGTGATCCTATCTTATGTGAACTGGCTGCAAATTTTCAGCTGTTTGACACTGGCACATCAGCCACAAATTGCAAACTGCAATCGGACAAGAAGTAAACTGGTGAAACCATTTCAGAGCTGAACAGTCTTGCAGGAATGGGAAAAAGGTTTAAAGCAAGAGACCTAAGAGAAAATTTGTAATGTGAGACCCTAGCTAGAAGAAGGCTGATTAAGTTGGGATTATCATTTGTGATGATACATCTGAGAAATTTGGCTCTGTGATGTTAAAAATCCCTGAAGATCAGTTCTTACAACTGCTCTGGGGTCCTGAGGGACAGCCTTCAAGGTCCACCAGGAGAATTAACATTCAGCCCTGCAGAAAGCTGCATGTTTGCCATCATTTAGGGATGTAAGAAGGGGTGAAAGTGGTGCCTGGCAATTCAGTTACAAGGAAACAAAAGGTTTGCAATAGAAAAACAGCATTGCAACACTGAATATGGATGAGATCCACATTTGTGACTTTACCTGTGTGGTTATATTCTGGAGTTGGATTTATGAACCAAAGGAAAAGCTGGGAAGTATCTGTCTTCCTCCTCTTCCTTTGGTCACAGTCCCAACTGTTAACTTTGCATGTATTTCAAGCCCTTCCAGTGTAACAATTTGTTGTTCAAGTCAAATTTAAGAAATAGAAAAGAAACTGGTAGTGTTGCACAGTAGGGATATGGTCAGAAGAAGCAAAAGGATAAAGCACATCATTCTCTTCTCATTATCAAGTATAAATTCATAGTAATTCCATTTCAAAGTTAAGGAGCAGTAAAAGTTGCAAAAGAAAGAGATAAGGAGAAGAGGCATTTTTTATTGCTTTATTACAATGTTCTGGTTTTCAGGCATTGTTTCAGCTTTTAGGAAGAAAGTTGTGATGAATCTTAAGTAAAAATATTAGTGCTGTATTCTCTTGTATAAGCAAAAATCCTTCTGCAATATAGGTCTTTTACTCCAGTTGTGACTAGGTTTGATTTGGTTTTGTCTTCTGGAACAACTGAAAATGTATCTTATGTGAGGTTGGTGGATCAGCTGTAACCTTACTTACCTGAACCAAGTTTTCTCTTGAAAATCTTACCCAGCCTTTCTAGTACTAACTGATTTTGATGTGTGTAAGACCCATATAGTAAAGAATAGGATATTTCAAATAAAGACACCCTTGTGGGATTCAGCAGCACTGCTGGGGGTCAGCAGGAGCTTCCCCTAAGTGCTTCACCATTGCTCCTCTACAACCATAGTCAGGATTGGAGAAATTAAGAGGTTTTGGTCCAGGAACAGGGGCACAGCCACTGATGCACAGTGTGCTAAGAACAGGCAGTTCAGCTAACACATCACCTGACTATTATGTCAGTGGCTGATTTTGTCAGTCATTTTTTCAGCTTCTAGATGATGAGTCTATGATAGTTCACTGCATTTTGCTTTTTATTTCCTTTTTAATTGCGCTTTTTTTTTTGAGACATTTTTCACAAGTCCCAGAGATCAGGGAGATATGAAGGGTTTAGGTATTTTTTTTAGATTTCAACCTATTGTATAGCTTATTGATGTGGTGAAGACTTAGCAATTGGCTGCTGTCTGTGTGATTTAGTACTCTGGCCACAAACTTCCACTATTATCTCCTGCAGTGAGGAAAGCTTCCAGTGTATCTCAGGATTCCAGGAAGAGGAAAAAGGAGAAATTTATGTGGGCTAAACTGATTCATCCCATGGGGGAATAGAGAACAGCAGTAGTTTTTTAAGCAATGCTATGAGAGGAAAAGTTGTTTCCTCATATTTCTCATGTTCAGTAAAAGGGAGTGACAAGCTTTCTTAGCCGTGAAGACCCACATAAACACTATCTTAAGCTGGATAGACTGTTACTGTACAGAAATTCTGTCGCAGACTGGGCATACCTTGAATTTTAAGAGCATCACTTTGCTAAGTCATGCATTTCTTCCTATTAACTAATCAAGCAGAAATGCTGTTACTCAGCTTTTTTTATCCTAAGTTTTATAGTCAAACCCAGGCCTTTGAACTCTCAGTGTCCTGATCGTCACTCCACTGATATCAACAGAGAAATTAAACTAGAAGTAGGATTTGGATGGGCACTTGGCCCTGCGCTGCAGCCTGAGCTCGGGTTCTGCGAGCTCTTGCCCCCTCTAGTGTCAGAACTTGGCTGCTCTTCCCGCAAAGCCTCCTAGCAAGGTATGGCAAACGGAGCAGGACTTGGCATTTCACTAAACCCAAACCGTGCCCTTCACAAGGTCACAGCCCACAGTGATTCCCAGGCTTCCTCAGTTCTTGTATGTAAGAGTAATATTCGATAATTACTGACAAAGTTTACTCCTCTAATCACATACCATCAGCGCCAATTTTACCATCACCGTCCTTATCTCCAGCAGCCAGAAGAGCCTTCGTCTCTTTGTCTGATAGGTCTCTTCCCTCTGGGGTAAAACCCTTCAGTACAAACCTAAAGAGCAGGCATGAAAAAAAGGAAAGTTGTTTGGTTGTTTTTCCCCAGAACAATTACACTTTGTATTTATTTGTACCACTAATTTGATATGCAAGTTGGAACTCAGGGTTGTATCTTCTGTTGTTGACTTTTAACATTCAGGAGGAGCACTTTACTCTGAAGCTGCATTTGGCTGAAGAACTATTTGTAAGGTATTGATCATTCACGTGTTTCAGGGACCCTGTAATTGAAGTTAGAAGTAGCTATCTTCAACACACTTTAGATCATATGCTCAGCAATCAACTCACATTGCACACAAATACCAGTCAAGAGCTTGAACTGTATGCTACTAACTAGAGTCTTGTAAAAAAACAGCAATAAAAACCCCACAAGAAATTAGACTCTTAAGGCGAAGTTATTTGAGAAAAGATGTCTTCACTTACTTCAATTCTTCCTCTTCAATGAAACCGCTTTGATCTTTATCAAGAATATGGAAAACCTTCTTCACATCTTCTGGGGTCTTCTTTTTCAATCCTACCATCTCGAAAAACTTCTTGTAGTTAAAAGATTCAGCCGCTGTAAGAGGTGAAAAAACAGAGAACTGCTTAGAAAAAAAATCATTGAAACATACACCAACACATATCCGTGGTTTTCTTCCATACTGCTGTTTGTCCTGCCCTGGGAGGAACAGTCGAGACCAGCTGTGCTAGGAGCTGGATGTACGCACCGTAATCGCCCATGCTTCACAGGTGCTAGTGGAAATAAACAAAGGCAGTGTCTCCGTTTTGCAGATAAAAAGCTAAGCTAGAGGGATAGCGACTTCCTCAAGGTCACACAAAAAGTCTGTGATGGAGTTGGGAGCTGAGGTCTAACCTGCCTGGTCTCTTTGCAGTGCCTTAAACCCCCTTTTTCTTCACACCTGATAGACATCTGATAGCAGACTCCGACTATTAGATCCCTGTCACTTTTTGACATTTCCACCTCTGGGAAAAAAACAAACATGCTCTTGCTCAACCATGGAGCTGACGAGAAGTGTTTCGGAGCACACGGCTGTTTCTTTTTTTCCTGGAGACTTACTAGAAATCAGTGTTGCATTTCGACCGCTAAAGGTATGTGCAATAGGGGGGTGTGAGCTCAGGCAGTGCTGCGCGGTGCTCTGCCTGCAAGACCTTGTGAGGCATAGTCACCGGGGAGGGAAGAAAAACAACCCAGAGCCCTTGAAATCAGGAGCCGTGATAAATGAGTTTACCTGCGCCACCTCTCCCATCCTTTACCCGCACCCGCGTTTGTCTCACCCACGTAGCCTAACGGCTGTGATGTGTATTAGAAATCCGATACAGTGACCTCCAAAACGTGCGGTGGACGTTTTTTGTTTTTCTCCCCTTCCCCGTGCATTTTTATTCCCGCCGCAGCTTTTCCTATTACATAAAATTAAGGAGGCTCAGTCTTCCGTGCCCTGTCTGACTGAGATCTGTCATTAGTTGCTGCTAATTGCATGTGCTCCTGGTCTTGGAGATGGCCATAGAACAATGGAAGCTAATGAGTAAAACAGGTGCTAGATCAAGCAAAGCAGTTTGTCCGTCCCTCTGCCGGGGGGGAGCTCGACTGAGCTGAGTCGGGCTCAGCGGGTTTTGCGCTTCTGTCTGCTCGGGAAGGTCATCGCACAGACCAGGACCGACAGAGGCTGCTCTCCGGGATGGTGCGGTCAGCCAGGCAGTTTGGGGGAGGGAGGAGGGGGGATAACGTGCATCCCGGGGCACGATTTCTGGCGTTTCTGTGAGAGCAACCTTAACTCCCTGAATCTCTGTAAGCACGAAGAGGGTTTGTTGTCAGTTTTAGGGGTCGCGATGAATAAGTGGGATAGGGAATATCTGAAACCCGGAGGAGTCTGAGAGGGAAGTGTGGATCACTGCAGCCATTCGTCCTGCAGAGAGCTTCTGCAGTCGAGCAGTGCACCCGCTTGCTCTACTGTTGCCTTCTGCTCCATCCCGACAAGCAAAGCCCACCCGGGGGTTCCGCATACGAAGTACGAAAGTGGTTTCTTATCTCCTTGAAACGGGAAACAGCAGTTCGGTAATACCTGAAACTGAATTTCAGGAGTGAGTGGGAAGCTGCCGACATCCCATGCTGACTTCCCTATCCCACATCAAGATATAATGCAGCCTGATTTGCGGAGGGTTTTGTTCCCTTTGAAAGTATCTTCTCGGTAGAAGCAAAGTCTGTCCGCAGTTAGTGCTTGTTTTCCTTTAAAATAAATATTTCACCTCTGTAACGCGCAGAGCAACTTTGCTGAGGATGCAGCTTTGTACTTCATAAACCTGTCAGACGCATTCACTGCACTTCTGAAAACACATCCTCATTTGATATTTTGTCTAGCCGGTTCCTCTAATCTTTCCCGAGCTTAAATAAATGCACTGCTATCCTAAACTGAAGAGATGAAAGGAGAGAAAGAGGGAAGAAAAAGAAATAAAAAACCACTCACCTGAAAAGGCTCCCACAGCCTTCTTGATATCCTCAGCGCTGAGCAAGTCAGTCATAGCCATCCTGCAACTGTTTGAACAGGGAAGCAAGTGCGAAAAGATTAAAAAGTGCTTTTCTCATCATTTCTGCTCATATGACCAAAGCTGCAGTGCTCTGTGGGGATGGCACACCGGGAAAGGCTGGACCCGTGCCAGCTCTATAGCTCTGCGTGGATAAGTGCCGTGGGCTGTCGCTCTCCAGTTTGCAGAGCACCAAGTAGTCCACAGACGCGAGGGATCAGCTAAAGAGAGGGCACGGGGATGCCTTTGCGGGGACTGGGGTGGGGGAGGATGCGAGTGGGGGTCGCTCCCAGGGAGGCTGGAGCCTAAGCCTTACTGGAGCAGTGCCAGGGTCTGCTGTGATACCGGCTGGAGAAAGAGTTTTGCCAAGGTCAAGTTCTCGGGTGCGGTGGACGAGCTAGTGGTGCAGAGCTGAGCCTTTTCCTTTAGTAAGTCAGGACGAGCTTTACCAGTTATATTCGGTGATGAGTAAGGAACTGCAGCATATGCCAAGCTTCAAGCTGCTCTTGAGGTCGGGAAGCAAATGTAATGTAGCTTTTGAACATTTGCCTTATCGTTCAAACACTTTAAGCATCTCTCCCTTCTCCCTTCCCCCTCCCCTTCACACACATATTCCTTTTAGACCTCGTTTCTTTCGGGCCAGTCCATATTAAGCATCATCCTCACTGAATTAATTATCACATCCCTGAGAATCCTACAGATCCCGTTTGTAATGCACAATATGCTGCAGAATCTTCCGCGATATGATATGGCGAAACGAGATGCGAGGCGACAACATGCTCGTGCGGAGCTCCTGTGCAGCACTTCTCGGCAGCGGCCAAAAAAAAAAAAAAAAAAAAGAAAAAGAAAAAAAAAAGAAAGAAAAAAAAGAGGGAAAAAAAAGAGGGAAAAAATATTTAGGAACTGTAGTGTGTTTTCTAGGGTTGATTTTTTTTTCCCTCCAAGAATCTGTGCCCATTTTTCACATGAAATATGGCAAGTAGTCCAACTTGCTCTCAGAGTTTGGGCAGGAGCCATTAGGCTGAGATAGCCAAGGTTAGGGCCCAGTAGTAGGGCAGATCTCTGCAGGAGTATTGGCAACTCTGCTTCAGGAGGGACGGGGGAGGACAGAGCGGTGGCAGCGACATCC